ACGAGGTGACGACAGAAGACGGGCGGCTGCTACAAAAGCATATCGACCAGCTGCGATGGAGGCAGTCCTCAGAGGAGGCCGGCTCATCCCTGCCTGTCCCCACGGACGACAGGTGATGAGGGGAGACCCCCCCGCTGGATCCCAGTTGCCCCGCAGAGGGCCCGAATGACGAAGAGGCATCCCAGGGAAGAACGATTCTGGAAGAAGCCGAGCCGACAACTCAGCCGAGCGCGCCACAGCAGCAGGGCACCACAGGACAACCGGGCCCGGGTGAGAGCGTCCTCACACCACCATTCGCACCAGCCCCATCACCGGCCCCCAGGCATTCTACCAGGGAGCGCCAACCCCCTGCTTACTTGAAGGACTATGTCACACAGGTAGAATCTGAACTATGGGGGGAGGGGTGTTATGTACGCGGGCCACCACGAGGGGTCCGCAGGAAAGAGAGGAACTGGGCTCCACAGAACACTAGGGACCTCGGATCCTAGTTCCCCCCACGAACCGACCAATAGGCTTATTGGCGGGAAATTCAAATCCTCCAATGGAGTGGGAGGCACTGGGCCGGGTGTGTATATAGTTGGCCTTGCAGGGTCATTGTGTGTCTTCATTTCTTAGTACAATAAACGTGTGCAGCTGCATGTTGTTGTCCGAGTCTTCCATGCGGCGAACCCAGTACTTTTTACTAACTACATCTCTAGCTGAGAGAGGGGGTAAGACTGAGTGTGGCACTTCCGAGAGGAAGGAGTGAATTGCCCTGATAGTAGCAATCTGAAGACAGGCAAGGAATGATATTTAAAAGGATAGAAGGTGCTGACCCCACTATCCTATTTAGAGTTGCCAGCTCATGTTTTTCCCCCAGTGGGGGGATTTTGGGGGGGGGGTGCCGGGAAGGGCCACCCCAATGTGATGACATCACATGGAGTGCCATCATCACGTCAGGGATGCAGTGCTGTGTGCACATACACCCCCCCGCTTTCCTCCAATGGTTGAAGAAAAGTGGGACCGTTTGTGCCTGCCCTGCAAGTTTTTATCACGAGATCACTACTTGCAGGGCAAGTGCGAGTGGCCCCAATTCAAAAGAGTGAGCACTGCTCATGCTTGTTCCGGGAGCCATGAGATCACTGCTTGTAGAGCAAGCATGAGCAGCTCCTGCTTCAAATGAGTGGGCACCACTAGCCCTGCAAGCCACGAGATCACCGTTTGCAAGGCAAGTGTGAGCAGCTCCCACTCTTTTGAAGCAGGAGCTGTTTGCAGTTGCCTGGCAAGTTGCAATCTCACTATTTGTAAGGCAGGCATAACTGGCCCCTGCTTTAAAAGAGTGGATGCCACTAGTGTGTGCCCTGCAAGCCCTGAGCCACCAACAACTTTTGGGTGCGCGGCCTTGCCTCTTCCCAACAGTGTCTCTTTGAATGCTGTTGGGAAGAGGTGGGGGGTGCAGGCAGGCGTGGCCACCCCTCTTCCTCCCTCTTTATGATTTAAAGGGCCAGCTGGAGGGCCCTTTAAATCTTGTAGTAGGGAGTTGCCAGGTGGTCATTCTTGGGGGCGGGGATTCCTCCCCTACCAGCCAGTTGGGTTGGGGTGGGAAGGAGCCCCCCCAAATCAGGACCCCCCCATGGGACTGGGGAATTTGGCAACCCTAATCTATATATCTAATAGCCAAGTTGCCCTCGGAGTGCGGATCGCTAAATCAGCGCTCTGGGGGCACTTGGGGGGGAGGGGGAGGTTTGTGCACACATGGGCCAGTCCCCACGTGTGCACAAAAATGCTAAAAGTAGAAAAAAATTTCAGGGGGATGTTTAAATCCCCCCGAAAGTGCAAGAGCATTCCGTGCGCATGCGCACGGAACGCTCTGTAGCTGACCTCGCCGCCGCCGTGCCACCGCCGCCACCTCCTCTGAGCCGGGCGGGCGGAGGACCGGCCTCGCCGCCGCCACCGAGCCCGGCCTCTCCGCGGGTCCCCGTCTTGTCGTATCTAATTGTCTTCTTGCTGCCCCCTGAAGGGTCTTATTCTTCTCAGACATTGGCTGCGGTCACACACTAAGTAATCCACTTTCAATCCATTTTCAGTGCACTTTCCAACTGGATTTTGCCCGTTCACACAGTAAAGTCCAGTTGGAGTGCAGTGAAAGTGAATTGAAAGTGGATTATTTAGTGTGTGTGACCGCAGCCATTGCCTTTCTCAACAGTCCTCACCAATCAGCCCTTCTCAGGGACTGGTATGAGCTACAGGCACTTGAAATCAGGACAGTATATTGTTTAGCTTTCCACTGGTATGGAAACAACAACCCTCAAACTGGGTCTTTCCCATAACATTTAAGATGTCTGACCTGTTGTGTTACTATGTGAAATTGTATCTGGCACCTTGCAAGGTTTTCAGAAAGTGTAAGGCAGGGCTTCTTATTACCTCATTCAAAGGAATTGGTTTTCCACAACTACAATAGCAGACACCGTCGCTGGAGGATCAGGAGGACTGGGAAGCACTCGGGCTTTTCTTATTCAATATAGTTCCACTTCCCCTTCAGATTTTAGTTTTTGGTGTGTTTTTTTAATTCCTGATTGCTCTTTCTCCCTCCCCCTGCTCCAGCTTTCCTTCTTCTCTTTTAATTCCCTATCTCTTTCTCCCTCCTCAATTCCCCCTCTGGGCTTTCCTTCCTTAAAAAAATAATAATTCCTTTTTTTCTCCCTCCCCATCAGGCTTTCCTTCATTTCTTTTTATTCCCCTTCTCCAATTCTTTTGCAAAGTGAGAAGGGCAGTATTATGTCTTGCTATGCCTCCTGTGATAGCCATTTTCTCACCACCCTTCTCAAAATTCCAGAGGTGCCCAAAGGCTCAAAAAAGTTGAAGACCCCTGTTGTATGTGGTTCAAAGCAAGATCTGAGAAAGGCAAAAAAAATTTAGAAGTTTGGAGGAGGTTAAACTTTGAATCTCTGTTTTAAGAAAACATTTACAGAAACCTTTGTTACTTTTTGAATACAAAACTTAGTACTGTTTTAATCTCCCCCAGGTGCTGACATTTCTGTCATTGATAAACAGCTGCTCAGCATCAATGAATTCCAAGAATTGAAAGCACATCTGTGTTTCCTTGTTCTAGCTTGGCAGTCCAAATATAGAAGTCCTTATATGTCACCTTGACATTTTCTAATTGCAGTGCACATTGGAGCCACCTTCCACTGGAAACAGTGGAATTTCCCTTTCCCTTGTCTTTCCATATATAATTGCACAGTTATAGATTACAAGCCACTTGTGGTGAGCTATGGGTTTTCCATGATTATTAGAGCACATAATTTAGAATAATGTTCAGCACTCTAACAATAAGTTCATTATTTAGTGACTTCTATTCAGCTATGTACCTTTTCTAAGTTTCTTCAGTTGTTGCGGTTTACACAATAGATAGGAATACATATTTTAAAGTGACTATTTATGTTAAAAGAAATTAATCACAAGGCCAACTCAAAGAATCATAAAGCGAGGAAGGCAATTATTTTTGTTCTTCAGTTTTACTTAGTACCAGAGGTCATTTTGGGGGGAATTGCGGGGGATCGCAGTTCCCCCGAGTGAGGTACGGGGGGTGGGGCACATGACGAAGCCCTGCCCCCTGCTTCCGGCTGCCCCACTTCCGGCCCTCATTCAGCCAGGAGGAGGCAGGAGAAGAGGGAGGGTAAGTTGCTTTTTCCCTGCCTCTCCCCACCCCTGCCTGCCTGGGGCCAGGGAGGGCCTTTGCAGGGCTTCCTTGCACTCCCGCCGGCCTGGACCATTGGGGGCGGGGTGTGTGGCCTTATGACATACGTCCGGTGATGTCAGGGGGTGTGGCCTTATGACACACCTCCGGTGATGTCAGGGGGTATGGCATATGCTAATGAGTTATGCAAATGAGTTCCCCTAGCTCTTTTTCTACGAAACGACCCCTGCTTAGTACTCTCTATAACATGTGCATCTGAGTTATTTCAAGGTCAAATGGACTACATGTATATGTAATATGGAGTTATTAAAGTCTGGTGGTAAAAACACATTCCATTTTTCAAAATCCTACAAAGACTGCCTTGGTAGCGATAGAAGAAGCTTGTCTTACAGTACACGTCACTTTTAATCAGAACATTAAGAGGAAGAAAAGGTTTATAATAGGACCCAATTTTGGTTTTTATCCACTATTTCCACATTATATAGAATAAACACTACTTTTGCCCAGGTAAACCAATAGCTGAATTCAATAGCTCTATCTTTTTTCACATATGAAGACAAGATTCTGAATATGAAGCACTTACTTTCCATAATGCAACCAGTTAATGCAAAACCTTGTCTGAGGAATAACATTGTTCTTTACAGATACTTAAATCTGACCCAGGAAGCATGTTTTACTTAACCTCTAGATTTCAACCATTGACTACAATCTGATGGATTTCAGAGGAGCCTACAAAGTTGATGAGATCTGTGACTGACATTTGTCCCATCAACTGAACAACGAAAATCAAACAAAACACTAAACCACAAAGGTTTGTGGATGCAGGTGAGCCATTAATAAATTAGGACATCTAATAAAACACACTAAATTTACTAACATGTATCCAATGAAACACAGGTTTTCCTTATTTTGTTGTTCCTGCCTCCCACCACAGTCCCCTTCAACCTCTCAAATACTATTCCTGGAGTTGCAAGACTGTGTGCATGCAACTCTGTTGACAGGAAAGGGGGGGGGGTCCTCATTCCCTCCTCCCCCACACTGTAGCCCTCCAATCCATGCAGCTTTTCATCTGTGTGGAATCTGCAATAATCTTTGTGCGTGCTGAAAAGGGCTGCAAGAGGAGACAGGAATACAGAAGAAAATTCATGCCTGTTCCCACTGGTGCTTTGTTGGTTACAAGCTACTGCCTGGAGCAAACTAAAGCAGTTGCTTTTCTTTTAATATATAACATCCCAATATCCCTCCCACCACCTGGTTAAATTTTCACTAGACATACTATAAATATATATTTAGATTTCAAAGCATAGATCTCCTTCCTTACCTGCTGGTTTACGGGGAAATTCCTGTTGATTTTTTTAATCTATAAAATTGAATGCAAAGAAAATATTAATACACATAACTATATTCAGTCAAGAAAGTCATCCACAAGACATATAGCATAGCAACCTATTTCTTCCTTTCATAAATTCACAAATAAATTTCCCAATGAACATTCAGTGTTGAAATATAATCAATTAATTTTGTTCCTATGTCCACTGAATTAGAATTGCAAAACTGTACATCCTGAACATGGTCCTTACCCAAAGTTTTGCACACTTTGCTGTTGTGTCACCTAATTACTTATCATATTGTTACTTACTTAATTTTAATGTTCATATTCAGTTGTGTTGGGCACTAATTTCATGGTCTTTTTTTTGAAACTGGCAATATCTTACAGTTTACACTGCAAACAGCCAGGAAAGGGGGGGGGGGGATCTTTAGATCCAAATATTTTAAAAAATGAAGCAGTAATACCCAATAACATAAAATATTTAACTGAATTAGCGTCTTAACAGACGTGGGAACAATTTAGGGGGGAAATTCTGTCTCTTGGTGAAAAAACAACATACTTAAAACACTTGAAAAAAATTCTATTTGGGGATGCAGTTCATAAGGTACTACTAACTTGCATTAACCTCTTTGTGAAAGTCCCATTCTCTAAAGGAAGACATGTTTCTTTAACATGACTTGCACAGGAAACACAGTCTGTAGTAACATAAAAATGTAATACCCATCAGATTTTCCAGAAAAATGCTAGGTTGTTAATTTCTATTTAATAGTTTATTTATCTTAATATTTATCTTAAAATGTTTCTTAAATTAAATTATTTTAATATTTATCTTAAAAACAAAACTAAGAATACTGAATGGACTAAAAAATCTGTAAACCATAAACTGTTTTCTAGGCCTCATTTTTCTAAAGGGAAAAATGTAGGGATACCAGACCCCATGGGGGGGTGGGTATCCCCCAGTTCTATGGGCTCCTGTCTGCTGCTGGCTGGCTGGCAGCGGGAAGCCCTGCCCCCAAGAGTGACCACCCATCCCTCCCCTCCTGAAAGATTTAAAGGGCCCTCCAGATTGGAGCAGATGACCCGCTGATCAACCGGAGGGCCCTTTATAACTAGCAGGAGAGGAGGGAAAGGGGCAGCTACTGGCCACATGCCTGAACTGCAAAAGCAGCAAATTTGCCGCTGGGAGTTCAGGCATGGGCAGCCCCCACTTATGAAAAGTATTTAAAGGGTCCCTTTAATTCACTGCTTGCAGTTCAGGCTGCCTCCCTAATGTGATGTCCCCTCCAGGGATGGCCCCCAAAGCCCCCCGCTGGTGAGTGGACAGGACCTGGCAACCCTAGAAAAATGCAATGTGTTTTTGAGATATATTTTGTATGGGGTGACAGCCCCACTAATTGCTGAAGAACATGCAGAGGAAACACAAGAAAAATAAATTAAGCCTCAGTAAAATAACATACCAATAGTGGATATATCATCCAGTTTCATATGCATTAATCATATAAGGAATTAATATATAGTTTTTGGACAGCAATATTTCACATATAGCACTTAACTAGTATTAACTAATGCCATTTCAACTTTAGTGAACTAGAATATTAGGAATTTTAGGACTATCATACCTGGAAGGGCATTCAAATACAATCTGGTGCACTTAATTTCTTTCTCATTTCTAAAATTAATGGTTTTGTGTCAAAGGAAAGTGAACAAAATATAACGAAGACATTACAGTACATATATGGTATAGGCTACAAAGCTTTTTCTTCCCAGTTAAAAAAAAATTATGCATCCTTCTGTGTTGTAGCCAATATTGTATGAGAGCACATGTTAACTAATTAGACAGAACATTTCCTCCAGTGTTTACCTTCTCACTCAGTATGCATCTATACAAATACCTCTTCAAAGCTCAACAGAATCAGGTCACCCTAGTAACCTCATGCCTACAGAAAACTGTTAATAGCAGATGCTTTCAGGCAATCAAAATATCTCATTGTAAACCCCTCTATGCAAGTCACAAAACATGTGAGGATGTAGATGGGCAGAGGATGAAACATTCTAAAAGCAAAGATTTATATTAATATTTTTTACTTATACTAAAAAGTCCAAAATGCATATGGCATTTAAAAAGGTAGAAAGAAGAACATTTATAAAACTGCCAAAATTGATAAAAACAGATATAGAGAAATATTTACCTTAACTGAATAAATTATACAGTCAGTGGAGACAATTTAAGTTTCAAGTTCTTTGTTCAAGGCATCATTCAAAATGGAGTCTAGCACAAATTGTTCCTTCTAAACAAACCAGC